TAGCAGCGACTAGCAAGCACTAGCGTATTATAGTCCAAAGCAAATGAATTGAGGCATGTAAAATATATTGTAGCATGCGTAAGTCGCTTGCAAACGAACCAAGTGAATAGCGGAGACGCACGAAAACGAAGTGAGTGAATAGCGACAACGAACGTTGTTATCCGATGCCGCAATACACTCACTTCGTTATCGTGCGTCTCCGCTATTCACTTGGTTCGTTTACAAGCGACTTAAGCATTACTTTTGTTTCTTTTATGTATCATACGATACGTCTAGGTAATTTCAAAACACTAGAAAAACTAGCAGCTACTAGCAGCTACTAGCAGCACTAGTGTACTCACTAGTGATACTAGTAAGCGATTAGCGAATACGTAAATAAAACTAGCTTACTAGAATTGCTACGAATGTCCCCTAGTGTTTTGTGCTGCCAGAAATTTAAATCATTTTCCACATAAAAAGTACTATAAAAACTTTAAAAATATTTTTGACAAATAATAACACAAAATGCAAAGTGTCAATAAAGCCACGATAGCGCCAATCGCTAAGAGAACACGATCATATTCACAGGTGAGTAAATATTATGTGATGGCTCTTCAATGAACACTTTCAATGTCACTACATTCAACTATTTTAAATTAAAACATAAATATACACTTTCTTTTTTAGAAATGTGAAACACAAATGCTCGAAAGTCTAGCTATTGAAAATAAAGATAATAATCAAAAGGAAGAATCTGATCGAATCAAAGAAAAATCGATTGCCAAACCAACGTATGATAAATCGCAAGTGAGTGAAATTTTGTGTGGCTTCTTGCAATTTCAATTTCAATTATTGTTTTTTTGTGTGAAGTTCACAAAGATTAATTTAATTGTTTCTTTTTTGTATTTCAAGATTAAAACACAGACATACATTGCAAGTAAGCAAATCGCTGAACAAAATATTGTTAATGCCGATGCTATCGTCAAGCGAACACGATATAAATCGCAACTAACAAAAATAAATGTTGTAAGTAAAACCGTAAACTCTTGAAATAGACATATAAATGGTTTCAAAATAAATCATTTGGTTGTTTGTTTTATATCATTTCAGCAACTTAAATCACAAAAGACTGACACTATACTTCATAGAAAAGGTAGCACCAAACAAACGATTAACGGGACTGATCAAATTGAAGGAGCTCATATTGCTAAATGAATGCGGTCAAAATCACAAGTGAGTAAAATTTGTGTGGCCTCTTGCAATGTCAATACAATGATTGTTTTTCTTTTTGGAAGGATTAATCTAATTTCTTCTATTTTATATTTTAAGGTTAAAGCACAGCCATATATTGCAAGTGAGAAAACCGATGAAAAAAATATTGTTAATGCCGATACTATCGTCAAACGAACACAATCTAATTCGCGACAAACATCAATAAATGTTGTAAGTAAAACCGTGAACTCTTGAAATGGACATATAAATGGTTTCGAAATAAATCATTTTACGTCATTTTATTGTTTGTTTCATATCATTTCAGCAACAAAATGTTATTGGTGCCGATACTATCGTCAAACAGACACGATCTAAATCGCGACAAATATCAATAGACATTGTAAGTAAAAGAATGAACTCTTGAAAAAGTAATTAAAAGATAGTCGCCTTGCGCAAGAAGATTTATTTTTTTTTTCATTGCAGCTATTTAAACCACAACTGCCCAAAGCTGTAGACATTGTGGTACCAATTAAGAACAAAGTTTTCAAAAAAACTCAACTTATAAAACCAGACCGCCGAATGTTGGTGACTTTTGCTTTGCCAAAATAAGAGGCTTTTGTGAATGGCCAGCAATTGTAACGTCTATCGAAAAGAATTGTGCATGGGTCACCTTCTTCAATTCGAATGAAAGGTGCAATTTTAATTTATAAATCATGCAGCGTAGCTTAATAGCTTCTTAAATTGATATTTTGTAAAATAAAATTATTTTTTCTTCACAGAGCAAAATGTTCTTTCGCCAAAATATATGATTTGCGTGAGGGAATAGTCTTCCTAAATAGAAAGAAACCCAGTGCTTTTGTAAAAGCAGTAAAAGAGATGGCCATTTCGATGAAATCCGAAAACAAAAAAATCGCAAAAATGCTAGATCCAGTTTATGACCAATACATGCAACAAATTGAATAGAACAATTTGGTTATTATTTTTGCAAGAGCCATCTAAATTGTTAGCGTTGTATATCACAATAAAATCACGTTAAATTTAAATAAGTTTTTCCTTTCTTTTTCATTGTAGCCAATTAAAAACACACAAAGTAAGTTGAAAAAAACACTTTGTTAGAAATATTATTGGTTATTTATTGGTATTTCATTTAAATATACACTGAACATACTGTGAACATGCTTTAACATATAAACTGATACTTTATTAATGAAAGAGCAAATGAACAGAACTCCGTAATAAAATGATGTTAACTGCTTTGATGATTCCAGGTACTTCCTCCTGTGTTTGACATAAAAAGCGTTCCTTCCATTGACATATTTCCATTTTGAGAAGGTGGGGTTGTGTATTGGTGAATTGGTCGTATGTACGAGTTATGTATTGGGTCAACATAGTGTGATATATGGTGTGGGTGATATGACAGATGCGGTGTGTAAATTGATGTCGGTGGCATTTGAATACTTGCAACAGCCTCAATTGTCGGTTTCGATGAAATCGGAGAGTGTGAAAGAGTTTCAGGTGGTGGTTGCGATAAAATCGGAGAGTCTGAAGGAGTCTCAGTTGAGCTCAAATCGTTTTCCAGACTTCCCTTCTTTCTGTATGCATATTTCAATACTTTATAAATGATGTCTTGTTCACATTTCTTTCGAGTATAATTATTGTCCGCTGCAAGACATAAATCGGTGATGATCAGTCCAACTGATAGTTCCTACAAAATCCGTTTCGAAAATATTTCGGCATATGTATGGCAGAACGACTTCACCTCGTGATTTACCCGATGTTCCCCCAATAAATTTAAAGACATCAAACTGAAAAATATAGCACTTTAGCATGTTTATACGAAATCTTGAAAACTTAACGCAACCTAAAAAAACGAAAACTTACAACACTTTTTGCAAAGGTATCTTTCTTGAGATTCTCTTCAAATTTGTTAAACATTTCTTTACTAGCAAGTGGCAAGCCCAATTCAAATAGTTCGTCTTCGTCAAGAGATCTTTTGAATGAGTTTTTTTCTTCTCTTTCCTTGTTTATTACATTCTGTAATAAATGCTGTTTGATGGTCTTAACATCCGCCGTTAAATTAACAATTAATTTTAAAATTTCGCTTTCACCCGGGGACATTATGATATTCTCAATTTGCTCTTTGTGTTTCGCTCTTTCACGGTCTTCATCATTAAGTGTTTCAGTAGTTTTACTGAGATTTGTTGTTGTTTCGATGCTTTGTGAATTTTCTATATCGATTTCATCAAAGAGAACATCATCATTTGTTTCTGGTACGGCACCAAGCCTCTCTGGTTGCCGTCTTTGTCGCCGTGGTCGTTCATCTACCAAATTATTATCGTCTG